ACATTATAATGCAGGGCAGGCAACCTCAGCAAATACAAATCCCACTCTATCTCTGCCTCTGGGAGTCGTGGCTGTCAAAGTCTTGCAATGCCTCATGGGACCTGTAGTCCCACAACAGCTGGAATGCCGAGGTTGGCTACACTTGTAATGCATTTAAAAGTTGTGTGTCATCCAAATGTATGTTAAACCAGCACCGAAGTTTTAATGTCCTCATAGTGCACCACCTGCTGGTGACAAGTGGGACATACTGTATGAAAAAGGCTTCTGATATCCACATTGAGCATGTCCTGAAAGCACTGAATACAATCCTTGACAGAGGAGCACAGGCTGAACAAGGCAAGCGGCACGCCTCACCCGGGCAGTGTGTTTTACCTGGGGCTTGTTTGTTTTTCGCCAAGCGATGCACTGACAGGCCGCTTTCATTACTGCTGATGACTGACTCCATCAAGAGGGACGTTTATCAGCTGAGAAAATCTTCTCGCCTTCCTGAGAACTCAGTGGCGGGGCTGAAGCTCCCGCTTTGACTTTGTCGCCGCTTCGCCGATGGCCCGCGTCTCACCACGGTGGCTGCATTGACGTAACTCGGCAAGCCAGACAGGGATGAGCAAGTAATTGCTGTCGTCTCAACAATTTGTCTTTCAGAATATTTGCTGTTCACGAAAGTGAAATTATAGGTTTCCTTCCAGAGATTATTAAAAGGGATGACATATGGATGGGGTCACATGACCTGAGAGGCATGGGCGGTTCTGAAATGCAGTGCCCATGTGACCAGATAAATCCCCTGCAGCACCAGATGTCACAGCCAAATGCTAAATATAATAATACACCCCAAGTCACATTTGATTCTGTATCAGTTATGCAGATTTGGTTAAACATAAACCGAGGCACATTTATCAATCGCTGAAATACATAAAGGGGGGGGGGTCTGTCTCTCCTTCCAAACATTTGAATTGATGTTTAGCCAGTCATGTGATCCACAACCCCGCCCGGCCAGATTCCTGACCTCCCTTTTATCCACTGCATTTAAAGCAGTATAGCTTGGTCAAGGACCTCCCCCTGCCTGTGATTGGACAGTGAAGGAGCAGCACCCCTTTACATTTATTATACAAGCTCTTTTGTGTATTATTATTACACATTTCTATTAATGTCAGTCTGTTATCTAATGAGTTTTGGAGACATTACTAAAAATCTAGAGCCTCTGTCAGGCTTTAATTGCCGTCTGTGTCCTGCTGGGAATATTCACCTCTGTTATGAGTCCTCAACAGAACAGAAATAGAAGGGAAATCTTCCAATGAGGACACCTGTTCCAGTGACCACTATGGAGAGATTTCCTCTCACTACCTGTTGTGTCTACAACGATGGGAAATCTCCCCAATAGGATGCAGATGGCTTACAACCTGATTCTACTCTATTGGCATCAAATGGCTTACGTTATAGAAGGAACTGAGTACCAAGTGCAGGGCCTGCAGCAACCAATCAGAAGCTTCCATTGTTCTATCTTGAGCTTTTGCACTTTGCTCTTTTGGACTCTTGACAAAGCCGGTCTCTTCACCTATCTACACATTTTAGTATTCATTGCACATTGGCTGCGTATGTGTGGTTGCCTGGCAACGGTTGTGGTGCTCCTCCAATTGGATGTGTCCAGTTGGGTTCCATATTTTTCCATATTATGATGAGTAGATAAACTTACTCCGGACAGTGTGTCCTGTGTCACCACGTACAAAAATGTGCTGCGCATGTGTGGTTGCCTGGCAACAGTTGAGGTGCTCCTCCAATCGGATGTGTCCAGTTGGATTCTTCTTCACGTTGGTGATGGTTCCTTTAAGAATGGCTGGACATGTTGAAGACCGGCATTGGTATTGATGTATCCTTTCATCGTGCACGTGATATCCTTTACTATGTAATCACTGTGTACACCATCTTGGTGGGATTATGACATCATTATGATGTCAGAGGTCAGGGGATAACCTTTTTGCTGTTTGATCATTGCACAATGCATTTATCACATGCCTGATGAAAGGGTGGCATTGAAACGCAGCACTGATACTAATTGCGATGTGATGGCCTCAGGTAACTTTTGGACTATATGTTACAGGCCCATTGTGTTCTGGAGACGTATGTTCTATGCTGATACCAGCTAATACCTATGACGTATGTTCTATGCTGATACCAGCTGATACCTATGACGTATGTTCTATGCTGATACCAGCTGATACCTATGACGTATGTTCTATGCTGATACCAGTTAACCAGCTGATACTAGTTAAGCACCCTCCTACTCCAGGCTTTTCCTAGGAATGGGAACAATGGTAATATATTGAGTGGGTACAGAAGCATTCTTCACATCTGTAGACAAAATAATAATGTTGGGTGATTCCAACTGTTGGGTCAAACATTGTTTTATAAAATGGGGCTCCCTGTGTATTAAGCTTATTGGTCCTTTAACGTCTTTACATTTTTGTGTTTTCTATTTCAGGAGCTTCAGACCTGACGGCGTTTAGCGACCCCCGAGTTGGAATCGATCGCCAATTCTCCGGCCTGCCCTCCATTTCAGACCCCCGCATGCACTATCCGGGAGCGTTCACGTACACCCCAACTCCAGTAACTTCAGGAATTGGTATCGGCATGTCGGCCATGAACACTGCTACAAGATACCACACCTACTTACCGCCGCCCTACCCGGGATCTTCTCAGGGTCAAGGTGGACCCTTCCAGACCAGCTCCCCCTCGTACCATCTCTATTACGGAACACCGGCTGGATCATACCAGTTCTCCATGATGTCGGGGGGAGACAGGTCACCTCCTCGCATCCTTCCTCCTTGCACTAATGCTTCCACGGGGTCCGCTCTCCTAAACCCAAACCTCCCCAACCAAAACGATGTGGAAACGGAAGGAAGCCACAGCAACTCGCCAACCAACATGGGCACCACGGCACGTCTGGAGGAAGCGGTCTGGCGGCCATATTAAAGAGAAATAAGGCCGTCCGCCGTGTGTGACATTTCCATGTGAAGTTCCTTCGGTACCAGGAGATACGGAGGATTCTGTAAAACTATAAACTGAGGATAGACCCGATCTCAGAATGCTGTGAAATCACCTGGCGAAGAAATACAGTTATTTACTACGCCTATATCATTTGTTTTTTCAGCAGTACAGCTGAGCGATATGACTTTGCAGAACTTGACAATTTTATTGTGCAGAGTTTTGGACGGACCATCGGATATCTGATCTCATCCGAGATACCTATGACGTATGTTCTATGCTGATACCAGCTGATACCTATGACGTATGTTCTATGCTGATACCAGCTGATACCTATGACGTATGTTCTATGCTGATACCAGCTGATACCTATGACGTATGTTCTATGCTGATACCAGCTGATACCTATGACGTATGTTCTATGCTGATACCAGCTGATACCTATGACGTATGTTCTATGCTGATACCAGCTGATACCTATGACGTATGTTCTATGCTGATACCAGCTGATACCTATGACGTATGTTCTATGCTGATACCAGCTGATACCTATGACGTATGTTCTATGCTGATACCAGCTGATACCTATGACGTATGTTCTATGCTGATACCAGCTGATACCTATGACGTATGTTCTATGCTGATACCAGCTGATACCTATGACGTATGTTCTATGCTGATACCAGCTGATACCTATGACGTATGTTCTATGCTGATACCAGCTGATACCTATGACGTATGTTCTATGCTGATACCAGCTGATACCTATGACGTATGTTCTATGCTGATACCAGCTGATACCTATGACGTATGTTCTATGCTGATACCAGCTGATACCTATGACGTATGTTCTATGCTGATACCAGCTGATACCTATGACGTATGTTCTATGCTGATACCAGCTGATACCTATGACGTATGTTCTATGCTGATACCAGCTGATACCTATGACGTATGTTCTATGCTGATACCAGCTGATACCTATGACGTATGTTCTATGCTGATACCAGCTGATACCTATGACGTATGTTCTATGCTGATACCAGCTGATACCTATGACGTATGTTCTATGCTGATACCAGCTGATACCTATGACGTATGTTCTATGCTGATACCAGCTGATACCTATGACGTATGTTCTATGCTGATACCAGCTGATACCTATGACGTATGTTCTATGCTGATACCAGCTGATACCTATGACGTATGTTCTATGCTGATACCAGCTGATACCTATGACGTATGTTCTATGCTGATACCAGCTGATACCTATGACGTATGTTCTATGCTGATACCAGCTGATACCTATGACGTATGTTCTATGCTGATACCAGCTGATACCTATGACGTATGTTCTATGCTGATACCAGCTGATACCTATGACGTATGTTCTATGCTGATACCAGCTGATACCTATGACGTATGTTCTATGCTGATACCAGCTGATACCTATGACGTATGTTCTATGCTGATACCAGCTGATACCTATGACGTATGTTCTATGCTGATACCAGCTGATACCTATGACGTATGTTCTATGCTGATACCAGCTGATACCTATGACGTATGTTCTATGCTGATACCAGCTGATACCTATGACGTATGTTCTATGCTGATACCAGCTGATACCTATGACGTATGTTCTATGCTGATACCAGCTGATACCTATGACGTATGTTCTATGCTGATACCAGCTGATACCTATGACGTATGTTCTATGCTGATACCAGTTAACCAGCTGATACTAGTTAAGCACCCTCCTACTCCAGGCTTTTCCTAGGAATGGGAACAATGGTAATATATTGAGTGGGTACAGAAGCATTCTTCACATCTGTAGACAAAATAATAATGTTGGGTGATTCCAACTGTTGGGTCAAACATTGTTTTATAAAATGGGGCTCCCTGTGTATTAAGCTTATTGGTCCTTTAACGTCTTTACATTTTTGTGTTTTCTATTTCAGGAGCTTCAGACCTGACGGCGTTTAGCGACCCCCGAGTTGGAATCGATCGCCAATTCTCCGGCCTGCCCTCCATTTCAGACCCCCGCATGCACTATCCGGGAGCGTTCACGTACACCCCAACTCCAGTAACTTCAGGAATTGGTATCGGCATGTCGGCCATGAACACTGCTACAAGATACCACACCTACTTACCGCCGCCCTACCCGGGATCTTCTCAGGGTCAAGGTGGACCCTTCCAGACCAGCTCCCCCTCGTACCATCTCTATTACGGAACACCGGCTGGATCATACCAGTTCTCCATGATGTCGGGGGGAGACAGGTCACCTCCTCGCATCCTTCCTCCTTGCACTAATGCTTCCACGGGGTCCGCTCTCCTAAACCCAAACCTCCCCAACCAAAACGATGTGGAAACGGAAGGAAGCCACAGCAACTCGCCAACCAACATGGGCACCACGGCACGTCTGGAGGAAGCGGTCTGGCGGCCATATTAAAGAGAAATAAGGCCGTCCGCCGTGTGTGACATTTCCATGTGAAGTTCCTTCGGTACCAGGAGATACGGAGGATTCTGTAAAACTATAAACTGAGGATAGACCCGATCTCAGAATGCTGTGAAATCACCTGGCGAAGAAATACAGTTATTTACTACGCCTATATCATTTGTTTTTTCAGCAGTACAGCTGAGCGATATGACTTTGCAGAACTTGACAATTTTATTGTGCAGAGTTTTGGACGGACCATCGGATATCTGATCTCATCCGACGAGGAGCGTCTGTTTTTATTTAATTATGTATTGTATTCAGGGTTGTTCTTTTCCTTGTATTATCCCAGATGTACAAGAAAATTGTTTACATATTGTTGTGTGATGGAAAAGTTGCCTGTTTGGAATTTTTCATATTTTTGTTTCTCCCGGAGGGCTGTGCTAAGAGTGAATATTAGAGAATCAAACTGTAATAGACGCTGATAACCCTATTCAATAAATCAATGCTAAAAACAGCCAGGGTAGCCCATTGCGGCCAATCAGATCGCAGCTTACTGCAGTCACATTAGCTTAGAGATGGCTTCCATTTTGGTTGGTGTTGATTACCGCACTCTGCTTGTCTGCACTGCTGTTCAAAATACTCAATAAGTTGAAGGGATTCCTAACATCTAAGGGCCACGGAAGTTTATGTAAGAAGTTTAAATGGCTTGGAACCAAAAGAATGAGAGAAAAGGGTAGACTGCATTTTAATGTAAAAAGTATCAAAGCAGAACACAAGGTACCCAGGTTGATCCATTGAGCGGGTGGATGTCATATAGCCCAACGTTCGATGCTGTTGGCCGAAAACCATTCTTCAGGAAGCACCCTCTCAATCATAGTTTAATAGATCAGAACTATTTTATCATGGGTAGCTCCTCCCCCACCATACTACGATACTACCAGACATGCTGGGACTTAGAGGGATGTGGATGACTAGTACTTGGCCTTCAAAATATCAAGATTTTGATCTCTATATATCAATATAATACCAATCAAGACATCAAAACAATAAAACAGTGCAGCAA